TATATACTTGTACATACATATAATATATGCATATATTACATAACTACTTTTTGTATGTGCTTATACTGGGCTTAGAGTAAGCTTGATGTCAGCAGCTGTGCACAGCACTTTTTTTAAGTACGTAGTCTTATATGTATACTTATATATATAGTTATATGTATGTATGTCTATAGTATATAAAAGAATTTCAAAGAGACCTGTAATAAAAGCATGCAAAACGCGAGTATTTTATGAAGTCACGACTCCAATCAAGATATGAAGGTCGTTGCGTCTAGAATTTTATAAACGAACTGTATTTAGTAGAAGTATACATATGCACGTATGTATGTATACAGAATTTTTTTGTGTAAACATATATGTGTATGCACATATAAATAATTGCTTTGAAAGCTTTTGGGCCGAGCTTTTCTACAATTTATGCCACAGAAATGCTTTTGAGAGGTGTTTCTAGGCGCTCCGTGATTTATCATTGTTGAACAAGAGGGAGTTTGTTGTAAAAAGAATTTTAAATTAATTAATTTTTTGTGCAACTTTTAATTCAGAAAACCAACCCGAGCAGCCCTGACACAACTATGTCCACCCGTCAGACGCGCCCACCTTCTTGTTCAACCGAATCCAGTTAATGTATTGCCTCTCTGCTTGCTTCGTATTCATAGCAAAAAATACAAGTATTTCAAGAATAATAAAAAAATCGAATATAACTTTTATTGTTTATTTTGTTTTTTTTTTTTTCTCTGCACCGCCAGATTCATTCAAAAGAACTTAATAAATATTCATAACTAGCGAAGGTGAAAGACGTCATTGCAGTCATGGATAAATGAATAAGCCCCCTAGATAATACAACACGGCATCATGCACACATGTCAACTTATAAGCACTAAACGCGCACACACACACAAACACATAAGATTGCTTAGCGCCTGCTTGCATTAGTCATCGTCGACTATTTATCTGCATTCACTTTCGTTGGCACATCTGTTGTTGTTGCCCGACTGAGAGGAGAGCGCTGACATTGCATGCAACTGTCATTCCATGTCGTCTACGTTTATGGATTTCCCGTTCCCGTTAATTGTGCATTTATACAAGTGTGCCACCTAATAAGGCATAGCAGGGCTTGAGGAAATCGGTTTGCATTGCTAATGGGTCTTACTAGTCCGGCATTTCCATTTAACAATTGTAATTATAATTGCATTGTAATGAATACACTGCATTAGAGAGTGACAAAACAATACTTGGTAGTAAACATAGCTATGTATATGTGTATATGAATATTCCATATGTGTTCGAAAACCGCTACACCGAACTCAACCAAGTTATTTGGCAAACTATGGAGAGGGGGAAGATTTGATGGGATTATAAATGAGGCGAAGTGCTTAGAGAGTATAGACACTTTATCAATGACAAATATTTGCAAAAACTGTCACAAATCATCAGTAAGTGTGTTTCGACAACTTTAATCATTCACGAAAGAAATCGGAAATTTCTCGAATATCTAAAAACTATTGTTTACAGATTACTATATAAGCCTTTTGCGAACTTTATGAGCGACATGATTTCTAATTTCGATACTTATTCTAGTTTCTTGAACCGTAAGATTCCCAGATGACTAAAGATTCTTGATTGATAAGGCTTCTAGTTCTAAAAAGGGCTGGACAGAAGCATGAGAGGTGTTCCAGCGTCTCTTTCATGCCTACTGCTCTGAGCTTTCTGCCTGTATCTTCATTAGTTATGGTGTGCCCATCCGACTCGCATGTGCTGCCAGTAAGTTGTGAAATGTCACTAGGTCAACAACCGTCCTGCCATTTAGTCAAGACCGTTTTTCTTCAGAGCTCTGCACATTATTTTGGCGATCCTGCATGTGCTTAAGGCATTCCAGCTCACCCTGATCTGTCAGTCGTTTAAAAAATTTCATTGTATATCGTCCTTAGTGACTTCCGTACTTCTTGTACGGGTTCGGTAAGCAAACGGATGGCAGTTTTAGCAATCTCATCAGCTATTTCAGAATTCTTTAAGGCCTCGAACACAGTATATATGTATACATCCACTTTCCGGCAGCCATTACATCTGCGGCCTCCCTATTGACGTATAAAACCAGTTTTATACTCTCGCAACCTGTTGCTACAGAGTATAATAGTTTTGTTCACCTAACGGTTGTTTGTATCACCTAAAACTAATCGAGTTAGATATAGGGTTATTATATATATAAATGATCAGGATGAAGAGACGAGTTGAAATCGGGTGACTGTCTGTCCGTCCGTCCGTCTGTCCGTCCGTCTGTCCGTCTGTCCGTCCGTCCGTGCAAGCTCTAACTTGAGTAAAAATGAGATATCTTTATGAAACTTGGTAGACATGTTTCATGGTACCGTGAGACGGTTGGTATTGCAGATGGCGTAATCGGACCACTGCCACGCCCACAAAACGCCATTATCAAAAAACAATAACTTGCCATAACTAAGCTCCGCAATAAGATACAAGACTGTTATTTGGTACACAGGATCACATTAGGGGGGCATCTGCAGTTAAAATTTTTAAAAAGTGGGCGTGGTCCCGCCTCTAATAGGTTTAATGTGCATATCTCCTAAACCGCTAATGCTATAATAACAAAATTCACTGGAAGCAATATTTTTAGCACTTCTATTGACGGTGTGAAAATAGTTGAAATCGGGTGGCAACTCCGCCCACTCCCATATAACGGTACTGTTAAAAACTACTAAAAGCGCGATAAATCAAGCACTAAACCCGCAAGAGTCATTAAATTTTATCTCTGGATGGTATGAGATGACTTTATAGGAACCGCGTTCAAAATTAGACAGTGGGCGTGGCACAGCCCACTTTAGGTGAAAACCCATATCTGAGATCTGCTTAACCGATTTCAACCAAATTCGGTGCATAACGTTCTTTTATGTTTCTATGTCACAGTGCAAAAATGGAAATCGGACTACAACCACGCCTACTTTCCATATAACACCATTTTAAATTCCATCTGATTATTTCACTTTCCACTATGCAAATCAGGCAACAATGACTGTATCGGGATAAAACTTTGCGTGAATAATGCGATTAAAGTATGCCACCTTGTGGCCAAAAATTGTCTAAATCGAACCAAAACTGTTTAAGCCCCTAAGTACTAAATATGTGGACCCCAGTGCCTATAGTTGACCTTCTACCGAAAATATCAGCCAATCCACAAAGAAATCTCAAACGAGTATACTATTTGACTTTGCGAGAGTATAAAATGTTCGGTTACATCCGAACTTAGCCCTTCCTTACTTGTTTTCATATTGTTTTCAGATTGACAATTTTGTGATTTTTTAATTTACTATTTTGTGATCCCGATTCTATTTTCTTTTGCTTGCCTGCTGTAGTTTCTAATAATACGCTAATATATACAAAATATTTGTTTTTAAACATGTCTATCCCTTTTAAAAAAAAAAGAAACATGCCATTTTTTATTTCGCAATTCTAAAAATATATTCAGCGCTTCTAGCGCAACGTCACAAATGAGATTTCAATGCCAATGGCCTTTAAAGCACGTTGTACAGGGTGTGTCTTCAAAATCAAATTGAACGATTCTCATAAACAAAAAGTGTTTGTCGAATAGCGTGGTTCTTGACAGATCAGCGCAAGTGAACAATAATTTTAGAGCTTTCATTAAAAATGTGTGAAATGCGGATTCGATACAAAAGTGCTGATTTCACCAAAAATCGGTTTTAACATTAAATTTCCTCTCCAGTTTATAGCAGTGTCAAAATAATCCGAAATTCCGTAACAAAGATAAAATTTTTAAAATGTGAAATCCGTATTTATAACATTAAAGGTAAATACTAAATACAATTTTTTCACATTTAGCTATTTTATTATCATCACCGTTTTGAAGTAAAAAAATCATATTTAAAATGGAATATTAATACGTAGGTATGGTGTATACAAAAAAGAGAAGTTTCAGTCCTTTGAAATGGAGCAAAAATACTAAAACATGTGTGAAAGAAGTAACAAAGCGTTTTGCGCTAAATAATCACCCTTTATAATCAAAAGAATTAAAATGAATTGACAGAGAAGCATGGGACATCACATGTGACTACAAGTCTATACAAATACATACATACACATACACTCACACGCAGAGCTATCGCAGCACAAAAAGTGATAAAACCCGATATTATCGATAAACATAAAGAAAGCAGTTAGTTATGCCGATAAGCTATTAGACTAGGCGAGTTGCAGAATGCTGATCGACTTGGCAAGACAAATAGAATTCCAAGTATATAAATATATGGGTGGATATACATATGTATATAAATACAAAGTATCACGTGTGTGTTTATTTGAAGCTTACACCCGAGCATTCTGGGTGCTTTCTGAGTTCTATCTGTCTGTGTGTATGTAAATAAGTGTGCAGCTGTCAGTACCTTACAAATAACAAATTGTGACAAACGTTTAAAATGACAGCACTACGAAATAAACACAAAAAATAAACAAGAACAACAAAACGTAGGAACAATTTTTGTATTTCGTAAAGAGTGGACGCAAGTGGGTATTGAGCAAGAATAGGTGGAAATATGTAAGCACCTAGATATTTTTCCATATGTACACATATACTTAAGTATTATTTGTACACAAACCTTTATAAATAAGTACATACATGGTATATTTGAGACGAAATGTCACACCCGTTAAAGTCGAGTTGCGTCGTAACTCAGTTATCGAGATTCTAATTAGTTAAAAGCACCACTTTTGATTAATTTTGTTTTTATTTCAATATATTTATTAGTTATGTCGAGGCATATTTTTGTACACCAAAATCATCACAAAGTACTTTCCTCAAAATTTAACAATTTCGAGTTAAGCTGTTATGCCCTGCTGATACAAATAAATCAGCGTGGGAGCAGAAAACACAGATAAGCTCGTCCACAACACCGATTAGTATATTTGTATGCATTTGTTTAGGTTTCGATGGTGTGTGAAAAGCAATAAAAGTATTTTATTGAATCTCTGAGTAGGTTTCGTTTCTCATGTGTTTAAAAAAAATACAAAATATTGAAGTTCTCATAATCACGTGTTAGAGTTATCGAATTGCTATGTATATTATAGAAAATAAATATTGCGCAGACCGATTGCGATACTAGCCGAGAAAATGTACATTAAGATCAGAAAATTTCCGGAAATTGTTGGCCCACAATTCCGGCCGTTTACGACGGATGTGTTCGCGCAAACGCCCCAAAACGCTCAAATAATACTTTTTATTGACTGCCTGTCCCGTTGGAACGAATTCATGATAAACCAAACCGCGAATATCAAAAAAAAAAACAATTTACGGAAACTTTCTGGTTTCATGGTCCAACATGTTGCTACAGAGTATTAATGAACGATTTTAAGACCATAAACTCGAGGTGGCGTATGTGCATCGCTTCAGAAGGAACATATTTTGAATGCGTTTGAACTACTCTTGTGTTCCTAGTATATATTATATATACTTACATATATACATGTAGCGCAGTGAAAGTTAAACGATTTTAATCGAATCATAAATTAATTAATCTCAACATCTTCATCTTCCGACCTTAGCCATAAAAAACTTTGGAGGATCAAGAACACTTTTTATGAAAATTTTATTGAAGATGGCGTGCAATGAAACCGATTATGTGCAATAAGAGTAAGTACCAAATACATCAATACAATGGAGCCTAAGCAAGGAACTCGCCTTGTAGTAATTTGAAGCTCAAGATATTTGCTATTTGCTTCTATAACTTTCATAAAAGCTAAGAAATAGATGTACATAGCTTCGAAAATATTTAACTATGTCCAGCCACCACTAGTCATGTCTCCTAATTTTTGAGATATTGTCAATATACCTTTTCACAATTCAAAGTGAGTCAATGATTGGGAGATCTTAGACAAATGTGATTGGCAATATGGCATTCAAGGAGCCTTGTTACGTTATGGAGAGATGTATGACATTGCCTAAGCGTTTCAGTAATCAGGCCACAAAATGGTTTTGGTAATTTAAAAAATTAATGTTTTGTTATTACTATGTAGATCAGAACTAAAGAAGGTCAAAGAAAGATAAAAACTAAATATTTTTCATGTCCAGCTCAAGTTTTAGTGTAAGTATATGGTGGAACCGGGAAAATCGCTTCGATAAAGCTGGACTGTTACTATTAGAAAAGAGGAAAAGACATTGACTTCGACTGCATCGAAGGTATAATACCCTTTAACAGTACATTTCTTATATCAACTATTAATATGTATAGCTAAATCTCAAAAAATAATCGACCAAAGGCTTGCACCCAACGGAAAACATTTTGCTAGTTCTTTCTAACCACACATTGCAATTTAATAAGGAAAAAAATATTTTATGAACTCTTTATCTTTATATTGATCGGTCAGTTTGTATGACAGCTATAAGCTACAGTGGTCCGATATCCACGGTTCCGACAAATGAGCAGTTTCTTCTTCTTCTCAGAGATTACCTCATCTTTCTCGCGAAATTCATTTCCAGCGAGTGTTTATTCTTGAAGTTTGACAACTGTAAAAATCGCTGACATCCTCACTGACTCAACTCAACTACTGTATAGGTAGAAACAAACAACGATCTTGAAAGTTACTAGAACGAGTACTATCACTTCATATTCGAAGATTAGCACATTTTCAAAAGAATATGGATATTTAAAAGGAGTTCAACCAATAATTTTATATCAATTTTATTATTTCCTGATTTAAAGTTCGCGCTTCCCTTGTTTGGATTATTTCTGATGACTTTACTATATAATAATTAATTTCTCATAACTCTGAGTCTTCCACAGCCATCTCGAATGCGGCAAGTTAAATTGTGCTTTATTTATTTGATCTCTATTTTATTTTATTTATATACGTACATCATATGTTTATTTATACAATAATATACGTAATAACAATAACAATTTTTCACCATTTATTCTTAACTAGCAGCAGACTTGCAAGCAACACTCACTCACAGAGACGCTAATTGTATAAAGAATTCATGCACGAATTTAAATGGGAATAAATTTCTTCATAAGTTCGCCTTAAGTCTGACGTAAGTTTTCGTGATTTCTTCAAGTTATGGAAGATCTTTTGGGCGTATATAAGTAAACTTGTTTAAATGTACATATCGAGATACATATAAAGTATATAGCTATGAGCAAATGGGTAATGATCCACTGCTAATACCCGGTATTCTTACTCAGTTATTATTATTTTCGTTTTTTTACTGCAATTTGTTCCAATAAACGACTATTTGATTTGTATTTTTTTATGTTGTTTTTTTTTAGGTGTTGCCCATATGGGTGGTGTAATTGAAAGCTAATAAATAAACCAAATTTATATGTTAAGTTGGCAATTATAACGGTTCTTCAGCGAGCTTTGAAAAAAAAACCAACGAAATCAAAACGGAAATCGATCTAAAGCTCTATAAATTATTATTATACTAGCAAATCAGTTTTGGTTATGGGCGGTTCATTTATACATTAATTGAATAAATGATCACCAAATGAAATTATGTTATGATCCCACACAAACCATAGCCGTTTCTTTTATAAAAAGAACTAGAATAGAACGAGACTCTTCTCCGTCAACGCTTTAGTTAGAAGCATTTTCACACTTTATTATAAAAATACATGGCTTTAGACGCTTGGGAACATTTAAAAGTTCTTGAGGAAAATTTAATAGTTCAAGTTTTTTCACCCATTTAATTTTCTTTAGCCTTTTTTCTGTAAAGTATTCTTGTGCTCTTTCGACTTACTCATCCAGTTCACACGAATTTTAAATTTACTTGTATTAATTTTTTCCAAAAAGTATCTCAACTATAAATTTGATGAATTAAGATACTTTATTTTCGACACTTATTTTCTTTTTTAAAAAAAGTTAAGAGGATTCATTATGAGAGGTATAAATGTACATAAGTACTGGTATAACCAGGTCATCAATTTCAAATTAATACAAAAGTTAAGAGTAGCCTGTATCGATTAGACTTTTGAAATTTCTCATTGAAATTTGGGAGTGCTTCTGCTGATATTTAAGTTTTATAAACGGTCTATTAAAAAATTTACCCCGATATTGTAGTACTGCTTTAGATAACAAAACATGCTTAATTTCGGCAAAATATCTTGTTAAATAAAAAGTTTTTCCTGACAGAATTATACAGGTAAGTGGAAGACAAAAAAAACATTCTTGATGTTGGTCAGAGATTGGGATCGCACATAGAAATAATCAACCGCCCGGTATGTCTAGAGCATATCAGTTAATCGAGACCAAAAATCATTCCTCAATTAAGTAATGCTACACTAACATAACTTAGGATGAGCTTGGCAGATCTGGCAGACCTTAAAGTACACTTTTCAACTACCATAAAGTAATATAAGTTCTCCAGTTAATTCTGAGACTATTGCGTTTAAATATGTGATGTAAATACTCGTACAATTGCTCTCTTGGCTCAATAAAATAAATAATATAAAATAAAAGAGTAGTATTGCGTATGGTTAAATAACAACAAAGTTAACCAACTGAAAAATATACAAGTGGAGTAAACAATTACATATGTTGATATTTTATCACTATTGGTTTATGCCAGTTTATACCAGTTATTTGTTTGATTCGCCCCTATGATTAGCCACCATAGATGGATATTAATGATTTTTTTAAAAGCTTCAAAATGTTTGCTGGCCAGACACTCCCAGAAGGAGTAACGTATTTGAGACACAGTACCCAAAACTATACTTAATTTGGTCGAAATTTATTGCTTTGAAGTGAAATACATGTATTACTTAGTTTTTTTTTCGTTTTGCCTACACATCCCACGAACTTTCTTCTTTTCAAGAAAATCTCATTTTTTACTTTGTTTTGTAGCGTTCATTAATATCATAAAAATACCACACATTAATTTGCTTTACGAGTCCAAAGTGGAAAATCATGGGAATCAATTAATTTTTGCAATCAAAATTTGAAACCGCAAAAACGAAAATACATAAATGTATCTGTACAGTGAGCATTTGAATATGATTGTGGGAAGGCATTTACATAAGTGCATACATATAAACATATATACGAATGTATGTATGTCAGCAGGTATATTTAAAAGCGATATTTATCTATTGCGGCGAAACTCACCTCGTCGGTCGCATCACCAACGTGTAACCGAAATAGGAACTGCGCGTTTGCGGCTTGAAGAATTTCAAGTGTTGCGGCGCTGGAACTTCAAAATTCGGTTGATTCGCGAAGTTGAAGCTATCGGCGGGCCAAATCAAGGCGAAAATGCTGCAGAACAGAGCGATGTAGGTGAACGGCTGGTTGCTGGGCAGTCTGCGGTGGTTGTTGCTTCTGTTGTTTTGCTGTTGCGTTGACATTTTGACACGTTTCGATTGATTTTGCATTTTGCATAAATTTAATTTTCTTCACTGCTTATTCTATTCACTTTTCTATGTGGGTTTGTTTTTGGACCTAGACCAATAATTTATCACAATTGTAAAATTTGTTCGATTGAATTTGGTGTTTCTGTTTCTATTTCTGCTTCTGTATGGTATGTTTGTCTAGGTGCAATTGATGATACTGAGGTAAATTTGTTAAAATAAAAGTAATTTTTTGTTGACCACGGCTATGTGAAGTGGAAAAAATTATGTTTCGGTTGCTAATAATTTAAAATTTGTTTAATTAACTTTATAAAAAAAACGTTTATCATTGACAATTTTAATTTGTTATTGTTTTTGTTTATAACTTTTTGAAAATAATATTTAAAAGAAAGGTATATCGAAACTTCGTGAATTTTAGATGAGTTTAGATGAGATGATTAACAATGACTGTAGTAACATGAGTTTAGATGAGATGATTAACAATGACTGTAGTAACATAAGTTTTTCTTATTTCTTCAAGTATAATCACCAGTAGAAACATTTTCAAAATTTAAAAAAATGTTGAAGCTTTGTATAAATTTAATTGTTCATTTATTTTGTTATATTTTTTATAACTTGATCAGTAGGGTAGGTTAAAATAAATCAATTAATTGATATATGAAGCTAAGAAAGGCTCTTAAATGTAACGTGTTTATTATCAAAACTTTCAACTACTTGAAAACAGATTTCGTTTTATGGATTTCGTAGTAAATTGAATACTCTTCAAAAAAAGTCTATATCAAATTTTTCGTAAACCTAATTGTTTAAAAGTATTAACGGTTAAAATTTGACTATTTTAAGGCAAATTTGTTTATTTCCATTGAATTTTATAACTCAATGAAAAAAAATTGTTTCGAATTGCAAAAGTCATAATAAACCAACTGAACGACAGGAATCAAATGCGTATATGAAAATTTTTTTTTAATTGACGAAGTATCTTCACGAAATTTGGCGTGGGTTATTGTCTAAGGCAACGGTGCCGTTGCCGAAGAAATTGCTTAGATCAAATCACTTTAGTATACAAACAGATCGATCAAAATTCATGTAATGAATATTTTGCATTTTTGAAGGGTATTATAGCTTCGGTGCAACCGAAGTTATCGTTTTTTATTGTTTTTTATTAAAATCAATTTTATTATCTGAATTTTTAAAATTATTATATAGTTTTTTTTCTAAATTTGTATATTTTTATCCACATTGAATTCGTAAAGCATTCAGCATTTTTGCTATATATGTATGTATATATATGTATTATAATATTATTCTAAATTTTTTAGCGCTTCACGAAATACTTTTGATTTCTTTTAGACCCCGCACTTTTGTATTTCTCAAGCAATATTTTTTGCAAACACATATGTATGTATGTATGTAGATATAAAAACCACATATTAATTAATTCTTTTGTTATGAATTCTTAATTAGCATTTATGCTGTCTTCCTTTAAATGTACAATTACTTCCCCTCGCAATCGTCATTAATCACAATTTGTGCGCGGAACTCGTTTCTATTCTCATCTTTGCCATTTCGGACGAAAAATAAAGTGAGCTCAACCACCAAAAGCGACTTGTGACTTTCTTGACCATATATATATCTACACACACATACACGCATATACATATGTGTTTGTGCATGGCAATTTTCGCGCAATTCAACACAACACCGTCTTTTTTGTTTTCCAACTCCAATTCAATAAATGTTAAATGAAGCAACTGATAAGCACTACAACAACAAGAACATACAATCAACACTTGGAACCCTTCATTTCACTAATTCAATTAAATCGCGTTGCGACAGCAACAGTTGCAACGCCACTCCACCAAAGCGTCACGAATAGATCACAACTGGACGCGCAGCGAAATCAAACTAACGCACGGACCAGCCACCGGCCCACAGTCGGAACGCTGAAACGCCGTTTATGCGTGCGTACATATGTGTATATGTATGTAAGCGTGCGTATGTGTGCGCGTTTTTTTTTTGTTGTTGTGCGCCTAATTTGCGTTGCGTTGCGTATCAGCCCGCTGGCCGGTAAGGCCGCGTATCACTTGCAAAAATATCTCTAGCCCACGAACTGATCGCCGGTGCTCGCGCGCAATGCTTCACTGCTGACTGTTCACTGAGTAGAAGCCGCAAAATGAAAAAAAAAACCAAAAAAAATTTTACAAATAAACGACAATCGCGGCGACGGATGTGACGATTTTCTCCACTATTTTTCCACAACAAACATTTTTTTTTTTGTAATATTTTATTTTTTTGAAATTTTTTTTCTATATTTTTACGCTTTTAATCTTCTCTGCTGCTGTTCTGTCGTGTTTAGCTTTGCTATTGTTGTTGTTGTTGTGTTTGTTGTGATAACATTTATAAGTAGTATGTCCGTTTATTAGTGTTGTTGCCGTGGTAATTGCAGTTCGTTATACGTATACACATACATACGTATGTATGTACATGCATGCATACATAAATACATATATGTATGTATATATATACATACTATTTATATATTATGTACATACTAGCTGCATACGAGTCCAATGCTCGATTACACCACCGGATAAGTGGCTTTTGTCGCCCGTTGCACGTATCTCGAAGCGACTGCAAGACAACACGCCAACGTCTGCCTACAGACTCCACTAGTAGTTAGTCATAAAGACTGATTGTGCAGCCCTTATTATATATAATATTTAAAATAAGTAACAATATCAACATATGTAGTTGTTGTTGCTGCTGCAATAGCAATCACTTTTATAAAGTTGTTGTTGTTGTTGTATTTAAAAAAATTTATCAATTTGTTGTTGTTGTAATTGGAATCACTTCTATGAAGTTCTTGTTGTTGCTGCATTAAAAAAAAATTATCACTGCTTTGCAAT